CTTTTGTAATGTCTTCACTGGACATGTATTTATCACGTGAATACTGTGGTGTTAAATTATCAAGTGATGCTGGGGTGGTGGTTGTGTTGTGGTGGTTGTGTTGTGGTGGTTGTGTTGTAGTGGTGGTTGGGGGTGTAGTGGTGGTTGTGTTGTGGTGGTTGTGTTGTAGTGGTGGTTGGGGGTGTAGTGGTAGTTGTGTTGTGGTGGTTGTGTTGTGGTGGTTGTGTTGTGGTGGTTGTGTTGTAGTGGTGGTTGTGTTGTAGTGGTGGTTGGGGGTGTAGTGGTAGTTGTGTTGTGGTGGTTGTGTTGTGGTGGTTGTGTTGTTGTGGTGGTTGTGTTGTGGTGGTTGTGTTGTTGTGGTGGTTGGGGGTGTAGTGGTAGTTGTGTTGTGGTGGTTGTGTTGTGGTGGTTGTGTTGTTGTGGTGGTTGTGTTGTTGTGGTGGTTGTGTTGTGGTGGTAGTGTTGTAGTGGTGGTTGGGGGTGTAGTGGTAGTTGTGTTGTGGTGGTTGTGTTGTGGTGGTTGTGTTGTAGTGGTGGTTGGGGGTGTAGTGGTGGTTGGGGGTGTAGTGGTGGTTGTGTTGTGGTGGTTGTGTTGTGGTGGTTGTGTTGTGGTGGTGGTTGGGGGTGTAGTGGTGGTTGTGTTGTGGTGGTTGTGTTGTTGTGGTGGTTGGGGGTGTAGTGGTGGTTGGGGGTGTAGTGGTGGTTGTGTTGTGGTGGTTGTGTTGTGGTGGTGGTTGTGTTGTTGTGGTGGTTGTGTTGTTGTGGTGGTTGTGTTGTGGTGGTTGTGTTGTGGTGGTGGTTGGGGGTGTAGTGGTAGTTGTGTTGTGGTGGTTGTGTTGTGGTGGTTGTGTTGTAGTGGTGGTTGGGGGTGTAGTGGTGGTTGGGGTGTAGTGGTGGTTGTGTTGTGGTGGTTGTGTTGTGGTGGTTGTGTTGTGGTGGTGGTTGGGGGTGTAGTGGTGTTGTGTGTGTGTTGTGGTGTTGTTTGTGGTGGTTGGGGGGTGTAGTGGTGGTTGGGGGTGTAGTGGTGGTTGTGTTGTGGTGGTTGTGTTGTGGTGGTGGTTGTGTTGTTGTGGTGGTTGTGTTGTTGTGGTGGTTGTGTTGTGGTGGTTGTGTTGTGGTGGTGGTTGGGGGTGTAGTGGTGGTTGTGTTGTGGTGGTTGTGTTGTAGTGGTGGTTGGGGGTGTAGTGGTGGTTGGGGGTGTAGTGGTGGTTGTGTTGTGGTGGTTGTGTTGTGGTGGTTGTTGTGTTGTGGTGGTTGTGTTATAGTGGTGGTTGGGGGTGTAGTGGTGGTTGTGTTGTGGTGGTTGTGTTGTTGTGGTGGTTGTGTTGTAGTGGTGGTTGTGTTGTTGTGGTGGTTGTGTTGTAGTGGTGGTTGTGTTGTGGTGGTGGTTGTGTGCATCGATGGCAGTGGGGGGGGTTGTAGTGGTGTTGTGGTATTTGTATAATAGTACACACTGCAGTGTTGGTGTAGTGGTAGTGGTGCGGTGGTAGTTGTGTGGTGGTAGTGGTGGTATGTCAGTGGTGCGGTGGTAGTTGTGTGGTGGTAGTGGTGGTATGTCAGTGGTGCGGTGGTAGTTGTGTGGTGGTAGTGGTGGTATGTCAGTGGTGCGGTGGTAGTTGTGTGGTGGTAGTGGTGGTATGTCAGTGGTGCGGTGGATTTCAAGAGCACACACCACTGATGAAAAGTGTAAACCAAACAAGTAGTTACAAACCACTATACCAGTAAACCCCCCACGCTGAGCCCCATTAACAACACCTCCCCCCCCCCCTCTAAAAACCTTCAACCGTTACCAACACTGAAGCAAAACAGATGAGAACTTGTAAGTTCCGCCACCCCAAGTTGACCAAGTTGCCGGAGAAACTTTGACCGTAAACACTGTGAAACATTGACCTCTGTCTGATCCAAGTTGCTGCACTTACCCTCACACTCTCACACACGAGTGTGAGTGTGTGTGAGTGTGATGAGTGGAGGGTATCAGGGTATGAGGGAATGTGGTGTGAGGTCCGTGTGTTAGAGTCGAGCTAGGGCTGTGTTGGAGGGGTCAGGGCTGAGTGTGGGGGAGGGGTCAGGGCTGTGTTGGAGGGGTCAGGGCTGGTTAGGGTAGGGGTCAGGGCTGAGTGTGGGGGAGGGGTCAGGGCTGAGTGTGGGGGAGGGGTCAGGGCTGTGTTGGAGGGGTCAGGGCTGGTTAGGGTAGGGGTAAGGGCTGAGTGTGGGGGAGGGGTCAGGGCTGTGTTGGAGGGGTCAGGGCTGGTTAGGGTAGGGGTCAGGGCTGAGTGTGGGGGTAGGGGTCAGGGCTGAGTGTGGGGGTAGGGGTCAGGGCTGAATGGGGGGTAGGGGTCAGGGCTGAGTGTGGGGGTAGGGGTCAGGGCTGAGTGGGGGGGTAGGGGTCAGGGGTGAGTGTGGGGTAGGGAGTGCAGCAAGGTAGGAGACTAGTAAGGTGAATGAGAGTGTGTTTACCAGAGCAGGTGAGAGAGCGCTTACCTGACCGCGATGGAGTGAAGAGGTGGAGCCGGAGTGGCCCTCAGGGGAGGGAGGGACGCAGGGAGGGAGGCAAGCAACAAAAGAATACTTGGGAGGGCAGGAGGGCAGGAAGACCCTCCCTGGTGGAGGGTCAGACTTGGGCTCAAGAAGAGAGCAAGATGAGGAGAAGTTGAGGAGAGAGAGAGACGGGTGAGGCAGAGGTTAAGAGCCTGAGAAACCACACTAAACAAAACAAAGCGCTTGAGCCTTGCTTAAGACAATATCAGGTGACCGAGCAAAACAAGACACCCGAACGACCCGTCGTGTCTTGGTTTCTACTCAAGACTGTAAATGAACCACTGAAGCTTCAGACTGACCTACACATACACATACATACACACACACACACACACACACACACACACACACACACACACACACACACACACACACACACACACACACACACACAAGCACACACACACACACTCACACACACACACACACACACACACACACACACACACACACACACACACACACACACACACACACACGCGCGCGCGCGCAACACACACACACGCAACACACACACGCAACACACACACACGCAACACACACACGCAACAAACACACGCAACACACACACGCAACACACACACGCAACACACACTGAAGCATGAGAGCTCCCGCCTCGCTGGGAGAGTTGATGGGGGGGGGGAAGGGGGTAGACACTCCACGATACTTCAGCCGGCCATAAAAATATCCGGCTGTGTTGGGGGTGTCCGGATAAGGAAATCGACTCGCGTATATCCGAACACCGGGTAAAATTTTTGGTGTCCGGTGCTGGGTGTTGAAGCTTAGGCGGCGAGGGAGGAGGAGGAGGGGCAGATGGAAGAGGAGGTGGAAGAGGAGCAAGAGGAAAAGGAAGAGGAAAAGGAAGAGGAGGAAGAGGAGGAGGAGGACACGTGTATCAGAGTTATCCTACACATTCGTCCTTCCTATCCTCGACCACCGAGGACGGCTGGTGCTGGTATGACGGGATGGTGGACGGTAGGATGGGACGGGTGATACCGGTGGACGGTAGGATGGGATGGGTGATAGTAGTGGACGGTAGGATGGGACGGGTGATAGTAGTGGACGGTAGGATGGGACGGGTGATACCGGTGGACGGTAGGATGGGACGGGTGATAGTAGTGGACGGTAGGATGGGACGGGTGATAGTAGTGGACGGTAGGATGGGACGGGTGATAGTAGTGGACGGTAGGATGGGACGGGTGATACCGGTGGACGGTAGGATGGGACGGGTGATAGTAGTGGACGGTAGGATGGGACGGGTGATAGTAGTGGACGGTAGGATGGGACGGGTGATAGTAGTGGACGGTAGGATGGGACGGGTGATAGTAGTGGACGGTAGGATGGGACGGGTGATAGTAGTGGACGGTAGGATGGGATGGGTGATAGTAGTGGACGGTAGGATGGGACGGGTGATAGTAGTGGACGGTAGGATGGGACGGGTGATAGTAGTGGACGGTAGGATGGGATGGGTGATAGTAGTGGACGGTAGGATGGGACGGGTGATAGTAGTGGACGGTAGGATGGGACGGGTGATAGTAGTGGACGGTAGGATGGGACGGGTGATATTAGTGGACGGTAGGATGGTACGGGTGATACCGGTGGAGGGTAGGATGGGACGGGTGATACCGGTGGACGGTAGGATGGTACGGGTGATACCGGTGGAGGGTAGGATGGGACGGGTGATACCGGTGGACGGTAGGATGGTACGGGTGATACCGGTGGAGGGTAGGATGGTACGGGTGATACCGGTGGACGGTAGGATGGGATGGGTGATACCGGTGGAGGGTAGGATGGTACGGGTGATACCGGTGGACGGTAGGATGGTACGGGTGATACCGGTGGACGGTAGGATGGTACGGGTGATACCGGTGGAGGGTAGGATGGTACGGGTGATACCGGTGGACGGTAGGATGGGATGGGTGATACCGGTGGACGGTAGGATGGTACGGGTGATACCGGTGGACGGTAGGATGGTACGGGTGATACCGGTGGACGGTAGGATGGGATGGGTGATACCGGTGGAGGGTAGGATGGTACGGGTGATACCGGTGGAGGGTAGGATGGTACGGGTGATACCGGTGGAGGGTAGGATGGTACGGGTGATACCGGTGGAGGGTAGGATGGTACGGGTGATACCGGTGGAGGGTAGGATGGTACGGGTGATACCGGTGGAGAGTAGGATGGTACGGGTGATACCGGTGGAGGGTAGGATGGTACGGGTGATACCGGTGGAGGGTAGGATGGTACGGGTGATACCGGTGGAGGGTAGGATGGGACGCCAGTTACTCCACGGTCCCAGCACATATTACTAAACTACCCGCGGTGCTCTCGGAGCGCGAACTGCCTCGTTAAGAGCGGTAATGGCTGGGTGGTTGAGAAACAATATGGAGGGGATGACGGCCTATCAACACATGAGGTTTTAGGAATCATTATTTTTGACTGGCTAATCACACGCCATCCACTATGAAACTTGTCCTCGTTGGCCAATCACCGCCTTTGTTTCACGCCACTTATGCACTGGTCCTTTATGCACTGACCAATCGTATACCAGCGATCGCCTTCCTAAAGGGACTTACGTCAGCCAATCGCTGACAGGGAATGAGTGACGGGAAGAAACAGGCTTCAAAGCTGACCTCTTGAAGCAGAGGATTGGTGGAGTGGCAATCGTACTGGCCTAGCATTCCAGAGGTATCAAGTTCGATTCCCACTGAAAATGACAGAGTGAGAGAGTGAGAGAGAGACGGAGAGAGACCACCACCTCCACTGTCCCCCACACACCACCAACTACGGACGTGTTTTTAGGACCGGGAGGATAGGCAGGAGAAAGTTGGGCTTTCTAAGCCCAGGTAATGAGAGAAGAAAGTTGGGGCTGGCGCGGGGGATCAAAGCCTTCATATGCCGCCCTCAAGTAACTCCCTATTTCGTCTGAGAGTTAAAGCTTATGATGGGCTATCACGCCCGGGTGGGGAGGCAGGGGAGGGAAGGTAGGGAGTCAGGGGGAGGGAAGGTAGGGAAGGGAGGCAGGTAGGCAGGGGGAGTGAGACTGGGAGGCAAGGGAGGGAGGAAGGCAGGAAGGGAGAGAGTGAGGGAGGGGGAAGAGGAGGGAGTGAAGGGGTAGATGGGAAGGGAGAAAGGAGATAGAGAGAGAGAGAGAGAGATAGAGAGGAAGGGGAGAATGGAGGGGATACGGACTGAGGAATGAAGAGACGGAGTAAAGGATAACAGAAGCATAACAAGAGACAGTAGAGCAGGGTGAAAAAGAGATAAAGAAGGAAGCGAGAGGAAGAAAAAGGTGCGAAGACGGAATCCCCAAAGAGAAACAAAGAGAAAAATCACCTTTCAAAAAAATCCCTATCAAAGAACCTAGAAAAAATCCCAGAAAAGTTACAAAAACAATAAAAAAGCTCACAGGAACCTCTCAAACCTCAGAAAAAGTATCAGAAGTTTGGAGTTCTCAAAAGAGCCTCTCATTAGATCATAATTAACAAGCTCACAAGTAAGAACAACTAATGAAAATGAGATCATCTCAAATCTCATAAGAACCTCTTGAACCTCACAAAAATACAGCCCCCTCGCAGGAACCTTCCAAGACTTATTGGAACTTTTCAAACCTTTTAGGAACCTTGTAAGTCTCAGAGGAACCTTGCAAGTCTCAGAGGAACCTTGCAAGTCTGAGAGGAACCTTGCAAGTCTGAGAGGAACCTTGCAAGTCTGAGAGGAACCTTGCAAGTCTGAGAGGAACCTTGCAAGTCTCAGAGGAACCTTGCAAGTCTCAGAGGAACCTTGCAAGTCTGAGAGGAACCTTGCAAGTCTGAGAGGAACCTTGCAAGTCTCAGAGGAACCTTGCAAGTCTCAGAGGAACCTTGCAAGTCTGAGAGGAACCTTGCAAGTCTGAGAGGAACCTTGCAAGTCTCAGAGGAACCTTGCAAGTCTCAGAGGAACCTTGCAAGTCTGAGAGGAACCTTGCAAGTTTCAGAGGAACCTTACAAGTCTGAGAGGAACCTTGCAAGTCTCAGAAGAACCTTGCAAGTCTCAGAAGAACCTTGCAAGTCTCAGAGGAACCTTGCAAGTCTCAGAGGAACCTTGCAAGTCTCAGAGGAACCTTGCAAGTCTCAGAGGAACCTTGCAAGTCTGAGAGGATCCTTGCAAGTCTCAGAGGAACCTTGCAAGTCTCAGAGGAACCTTGCAAGTCTCAGAGGAACCTTGCAAGTCTCAGAGGAACCTTGCAAGTCTCAGAGGAACCTTGCAAGTCTCAGAGGAACCTTGCAAGTCTCAGAGGAACCTTGCTAGTCTCAGAGGAACCTTACAAGTCTGAGAGGAACCTTGCAAGTCTCAGAGGAACCTTGCAAGTCTCAGAGGAACCTTGCAAGTCTCAGAGGAACCTTGCAAGTCTCAGAGGAACCTTGCAAGTCTCAGAGGAACCTTGCAAGTCTCAGAGGAACCTTGCAAGTCTCAGAGGAACCTTGCAAGTCTCAGAGGAACCTTACAAGTCTGAGAGGAACCTTGCAAGTCTCAGAGGAACCTTGCAAGTCTCAGAGGAACCTTACAAGTCTCAGAGGAACCTTGCAAGTCTCAGAGGAACCTTGCAAGTCTCAGAGGAACCTTACAAGTCTGAGAGGAACCTTGCAAGTCTCAGAGGAACCTTGCAAGTCTCAGAGGAACCTTACAAGTCTGAGAGGAACCAAGTTCAGAGGAACCTGCAAGTCTCAGAGGAACCTTGCAAGTCTCAGAGGAACCTTGCAAGTCTCAGAGGAACCTTGCAAGTCTCAGAGGAACCTTGCAAGTCTCAGAGGAACCTTGCAAGTCTCAGAGGAACCTTGCAAGTCTCAGAGGAACCTTGCAAGTCTCAGAGGAACCTTGCAAGTCTCAGAGGAACCTTGCAAGTCTCAGAGGAACCTTGCACAAGTCTCAGAGGAACCTTGCAAGTCTCAGAGGAACCTTGCAAGTCTCAGAGGAACCTTGCAAGTCTCAGAGGAACCTTGCAAGTCTCAGAGGAACCTTGCAAGTCTCAGAGGAACCTTGCAAGTCTCAGAGGAACCTTGCAAGTCTCAGAGGAACCTTGCAAGTCTCAGAGGAACCTTGCAAGCGTCATGGAAAGCTTTTAAATCTACCCAACATGACAAGAAGCTCTCAGGTCTGAGGATAACCTCTGAGGTACTCTGGTGGATGAAGTGTTGGGGGGACGAGATTGGAGGTGTTTGCTCCCCCCCCCCCCTTACAAACATGGGCCTCCCCCCCTCACCACTTCACCCCCACCACTTCACCCCCACCACTTCACCCTCCCCCCCTCCCCACTTCACCCCCCCCCTCCCCACTTCACACCTGGAAAGAGTATTCTCGACATTCCAAGACAATTCACGCATCATTTTTCTGGAGTTGTTGTTCAGCCGGCGCCTGTGTTGCGGCTGGGAGGGAAGGGGTCGAGACCCGGGGTTAGGGGAAGGGTTACTGGGGAAAGGAAGCAGGGAGGGGAAGGGTAATCAGGGAAGGGGAGGGATGGGAGGAAAGAGGAATGCAAGAAAAAATACAAGAGTGAAATAGATAGAGACTGAGAGGAGAGGAATCCTTCTTCAGTGGTCTCTTGCTCAGCTGTAAGGCTCCGCGGGTCTCTTGCCTCTTTACCTGGTCTCCTCTGGTCTCCTCTGGTCTCCTGCCTCTCTACCTGTTCTCCTCTGGTCTCCTGCCTCTCTACCTGGTCTCCTCTGGTCTCCTGCCTCTCTTCCTGGTCTCCTCTGGTCTCCTGCCTCTCTTCCTGGTCTCCTCTGGTCTCCTGCCTCTCTACCTGGTCTCCTCTGGTCTCCTGCCTCTCTACCTGGTCTCCACTGGTCTCCTCTGGTCTCCTGCCTCTCTACCTGGTCTCCTCTGGTCTCCTGCCTCTCTACCTGGTCTCCTCTGGTCTCCTGCCTCTCTACCTGGTCTCCTCTGGTCTCCTGCCTCTCTACCTGGTCTCCTCTGGTCTCCTGCCTCTCTACCTGTTCTCCTCTGGTCTCCTGCCTCTCTTCCTGGTCTCCTCTGGTCTCCTGCCTCTCTACCTGGTCTCCTCTGGTCTCCTGCCTCTCTACCTGGTCTCCACTGGTCTCCTCTGGTCTCCTGCCTCTCTACCTGGTCTCCACTGGTCTCCTGCCTCTCTACCTGGTCTCCACTGGTCTCCTGCCTCTCTACCTGGTCTCCTCTGGTCTCCTCTCCCACCTGTACAGTGCCTGGGGTAATTAGTCCACGTCACACCTGGCCGGGGGGCGGTACACGGTGCTCCCACACCTCCCCCTGCTCTTACTCCCCCACCTCCCCCTGCTCTTACTCCCACACCTCCCCCTGCTCTTACTCCCCCACCACCCTAATGGTTCACTCTCTACCCTAGGTTATAGTCCCCTCCTATCCTGCCCCTACGTGTGGCCCGAAGGTGGGGTGGGTGTGGCCCGAGGGTGGGGCGGGTGTGGCCCGAGGGTGGGGCGGGTGTGGCCCGAGGGTGGGGTGGGTGTGGCCCGAGGGTGGGGCGGGTGTGGCCCGAGGGTGGGGCGGGTGTGGCCCGAGGGTGGGGTGGGTGTGGCCCGAGGGTGGGGGGGTGTGGCCCGAGGGTGGGGCGGGTGTGGCCTCTTTGATCCCGCCTCTCAACTGTCAATCAACTGATGTACAGATTCCTGAGCCTACTGGGCTCTATCATATCTCCATTATCTATATGTAGTGGTGGTGTGTGTATGACGTGTGTCATCATGTACACCATGATGTGGTGTAGTGTGTATGTAGAAACACACACCTGTCAGTATAATGAGTCACACACACACACACACACACATACACACACACACACACACACACACACATCCTGTGCTTGGAAAGCTTCTCAGTAGTAGCGTAAGTTAATCTTGCGTCAGGCAGCGACTCCCGCGGCGCCCGACGCAGCCAACATTAACCAAACGCTCCGTGAAAATAGGTTATTGTCGAACTTTATTTCGCTTGTGGCCGGCAAATTGTGGCTCTGGTCCTCTGTGGGGGTTCATGGCTTTGGTGCCCGGCTGTGAGGAATGTCTAGGGAAGCTCTCATTCCCTGGCTCACTCACTCACTCACTCACTCACTCACTCACTCACTCACTCACTCACTCACTCACTCACTCACTCACTCACTCACTCAACATGGGTGTCAGTGTCAATAATAACGAACCTTGTCATCGAGGCGTCTCACAGAAGGAGCCAGGGTGAGAGAGATGGTAGAGCCTCTCCCACTCCCTTCTCTCTCTCTTCTCCCACTCCGACTCTCCTCTCCCACTCTCCTCTCCCACGCTCCTCTCCCACTCCCCTCTCCTCCC